AGAGAAAGAAAGAGAGAGAGAGGGAGAGAGAGAGGGAGAGAGAGAGAGAGAGAGATCCAAGTATTACAAATGTAAAAATAAAAATATTTACAAACTACCTTTAACCAAAAATGGTGTTGTATTTTACACTAAACTTACTCTCAAAGGACAACTAGGTAGTGTACATTCAACAAATTATTCATACATTTATTTTTTGCATAAAAATCAAAAATAAAATGATTGAATGTTGTCTTCACACACAATAAAGTATTAAAATACATATAAATTCTACAAAATAGTACCCATTTTTTATATAACAAATCTAGAATTTCTCAATTTAAAATGCTGATCAAAAGTATTTGACAAATAATATCTTATTTATAGTTTATTTGTCGATAATAAAGTAATTATCTGAAAAATTTTTACGAAAACACATTAGTTTATCAACTTTTTTACATTAATTTTCAAATAAATATTAAACTATCAATTTCATCACTTTTTACCCCTTCTGAAAGTCTCATCCCTTTAATATAGAAATGTTTTTAAATTTGGAAATCATATATTTTATACTATAAAATTTATAGCCATTTTAAATGTATTTATAAATCACATAAAAATCCTAAATGAATCAAACAAAAAGTGACTTTTCTTTCTATTGTTGAAAACCGGCTAAATTAGTAGGAAATACACAAAACAAACAACGAATAACTGACCAATGATTTTGTAGATGTAATCAGTATTGTTTACATTTGTGGTTCTGTTTATTGTGCAAGCGAACATGTACAAATAGCTAATTTTACCACTTGTAATAAATGCAAATCAAACAAATGACATTTATTATAAGGAATCCCGAGTTCCACAAAATAACTCTAAAGATTTTGCACTAAATAAATGTTTTGAAAATAAAGTATACCAATGAATAACATTTTAATATTTACAGATTCTTTCTTAAAAAATATTGAATTTTGTGAATTTTAAAATTTAAAAAAAATTAATGAAAATTTTCTTTTTTTCTAAAACGGATCAATCATTTTCTAATGCATTCGTTAATTAAGTTTATATTCTATACCAGAGTTTTCCAGATCCCAGTCTACAAAACATCAAAATTCATTTAATTTAAATTAGATATAAAATGATGTAATGTTACAGAATATATCTGTAATACAGATTCTGTATATAGAGTTTTTCACAATAAATCCCATCAAATAGTTTACAGCATAACGTTATTCTGTACAACAAGATTGTATTTATTGTATTTACATCTGTAATAAACTCTGTTATAAAGTAATAATATTATACAAATATTGAGCAATCATTTGACTCTTTTCGTCGAGTATATAGTGTTTCCCATTCATTGCATGACATTATTTAATATAAAATAAAAAAGTTTTGTTTAGCTTTTTATGACTTATTCAAAAGACAAAGTCTTGGCTCACAAAATAGGTATCATTATTATAGCAATTGAGTAAAATTGGATACAATTATGACTCGAAAGCTAAGACTATGTGTTTATTTTCTATATAAAAATAAATGGCATTAATTCTGTTATTATATGTGAACTCAAATTTATTCCGATTTTCCACTACTTATCGACAAATCGTGCATAAAATTGCGAGAGAAAGACAAATGATATCCTATTTTAGCAAATGTTTGCCTCAATTTTGTTCAATACAAATGTGAGCCTAAATTAAATGAATATTTGAGCCACACTTTAATAATCATAGATTCTGTTTTTATACATTTAATAAACTTCTATTTTATTATTAGTATAATTTATTTTTTGAATTATAATTTTACAAACAAAAGTCTTATAATTATTATATTAAATATTTTAATCAAATACTTATTAATACATATATTATTTAAAATATAAACACCAAATTCATTTATATATAAATTTTATCTCAAAATCACAATTGAAAACATAGAAATCTCTTGAAATGCATATATATTATGAAAAATTGTTTATAATATATAATTCACAACAGAAAAGCTATATAAACACCAAATTCATTTATATATAAATTTTATCTCAAAATCACAATTGAAAACATAGAAATCTCTTGAAATGCATATATATTATGAAAAATTGTTTATAATATATAATTCACAACAGAAAAGCATTTGGAAAGTGATGCAAATGAATATAAATGTAAAATACAAAATATATTTGTTTTATAAAACACAGTGCTCTCTCTCTCTCTCTCTCTCTCTCTCTCTCTCTCTCTGCATATAAGCAGAGATTTAGTGGAATACATAAATCTATAAGTCATGAAAGAGTAAAAAGAATTATTATTTCAAACTTCACTCTCCTTTTAGCCCATATTTCACAACCAAAACCAGTACTGAATTGCATGAAAACAAACTCTAATAGTTTACATACTCTACACATAATCATCTCATTTTTGTATTGCAAATGTAAATTTATAAATAATTTTTGTGTTCAAAATAATTTACATGTCATTACAATATATCATTTCGTTTAATACAAAAGAGACTTGTTTTATCATCATAAATTTATATAACTATTGATAACTATAAATAAATAACACAACATCTTTGTAATTTGATAAATATAATAAACCATAAGTTACTATTAATAAGTTTTGTTTGTCAATAGTGTACACATCTAGCTATTCGTTTGAAGCGCCGGAGTTTGTTGAGCCGATCACTAACGTAACGGTGGCCACCGGTAGGGATACTGTGCTCGAGTGCACCGTCACTAATATTGGAAATTATAAGGTATTTACATATATTCATATTAATTATGATTTACATAACTATATAAATAATATAAATGAGAGACTAATTTGGAGCTGAGATTTATATTTAGGAGAAAAATGGTCTATTGTTTTATGAACGAGTGTCTCATGTCTTACGTGTCAAATGCAAGGCTTGAAGAGAGAAATAGAGACTAGAAATTAATGACTTTTAATAAAGTACTACTACTTCTACTAATGAACCATCAAATCATAATTATCTGTACGCTATTTAAGGGCTGAAAACAAAACTAATTAATTAAAAATAAGTAAAGAAAGAGATGATGAAAGAAATATCATATCAAACACACACTCGTATTATATTACTTGTGGATATAATTAGAACTGTCCTTATAATTGAATTGGGTTTTGATTTCCATATTTTCTTTTATTACTATTAATATTGAAATGAGGCGATTGAGTGGTAATTGAATTTATTGTTTATTTCAATCTAAATATTCTTATCTTCATTTATAATAATCTCTTAAATCATATTATCTAACAATAGTTTTCGTATCATAAGTCAGACTTATAAGTTATATCGTATTGATTAATATAATATTAACATTCACTTGAAGAGTGGAGAATCTGATCTAGGGTAATCTGTTTATCCAAACAATAAGCTAAACACTTTATTACTTTACCAATCAATGAATAACTCAGTCTTTGCTTAATAAATAAGAATAGAAAACTAAAAATACAGCAATAAATAAATTATAGTGAAAGTCGATACCTTATTTGGATCACAAATTGGACTTATTTTTATTGTTTTTTCTCTCATTTCTTCTATTTATATGAAATATTCATTTTGGATAATAAAATGGTATCAAAAGTTTTCACTGCCGTATATATCATATCGTAGGGAAACATGAGTTGAATGAATAAAATATTTAACACATAATAATAATTAGTTATCAGTGAATAGCCAGTCGTATATCTCTCTTATACAACTGACAATGAGTTTGGGGCCGACTATTGTATATCCAATCACTCCCTTAATCATTCTATCTCCAAATACCTATCATATAATACTATTATGTTCTGAGCTCTCTCTCTCTCTCTCTCAACTTTCAATATGATAATACAGGGCTTATGCATACATAAGCTTATTAACTATAAAATGACAATTGATTTAAAATACATAAAAATAAGATAACAATTGAACGCTTGCACAGTATTTGAGTCGTGTTTTCCCTAAATTTAGTGTTATATTCTCGTTGTACCGAATATACAGTATATAGCGATGGCGTGTAATCTGCGTGTCTTTCCTCCCCGACATCCCTCGCAATTGTGTCCCTTATTTACATAATTGCCTTCAGTTCAGACCAAAGTCCCATCACTACCACCACTACTACTGCTAATTCTCATTCATTATCTATTCATTCAATTCGTTATGAAATATAATCCAATACTCGAGTCACAAGAATAAGATACTAACGAGAGATTTGCATATTTATCATATAATTAATTCATTGACGACAAGAAAACATTTTTATTTTTTTTACTTATAGAGTATTAACATTAAATTTACAAACAACTAATAAATTTAATATGAATTCAATATTTAATTTGAGTAACATTTAACTATTTTATATTTGGTTTTATGCACAAAAAAGGTTTTAGTAAAAATTAATGGATAATTCATATAAATAAAACCATTTGAAAGCACATTAATTACAACACAGAGCGTATTAACAAATTGAAAATAAAAGTACATTAATAATATAATTCTGTGTTTTTGTTTGTCAAACATATTCGTTAATAATATTTGTTAAACCTATTATTTATTAATCTTCACATGAAATACAAATTAATAATTTAAAATAATTGCCATTTCATTGCCATTAATTAGTTTTGATTTCTAGTAAAGTAAAGCCAATCTTCATTTTATTTGTTGGCCTTATTATATATTCCAATAGGTTTGTAGTGTTTGTAGTGTATAATATGGGAGTTAATTTGTACAAAACATTATAATATATTTTTGTTAAATAAATGCCCGAATAAAAGTACATTATTCCAATTATTCCAAATGTATTGAAATACTATTAGAATTTACATTTGGTCAATTTGAAAAGTTTTGAAGTGTACTATTATTTAGGCAACAGCAATATTGATAATTTTGTCAATAAAATAATTAAATTATTTGATTAATTCATAGGTCGCTTGGCTTAAAGTGGATTCACTGGATGAGCACTCTTTGTCTTCGGAGTCGACATTACTTACAATTCATACGCAAACCGTTATAAAAGACCAGAGATTTCGTGTATCACATAATAATTACCGTCAATGGTATCTACATATTAAGAGTGTTAGGGCTGTCGATAAAGGTATGCATACATTATCTCTATTGTATGATAAACACCAATACGTGATCACATATTATTTTAATTAATTAATAAATACACAAAAACACTAATATTTCAGTTGTATTTATGAATTATTGGTTAATAAAAATAGACACAACAATGTGTTCAATGAAATGGCATTTATAATAATGAAATATATTTGTTTCCTAAACCCCGACCCTTTCATAGGCTGGTATATGTGCCAAATCAATACCGAACCCATGATAACACAGGCCGGTTATGTCGATGTCTTAAGTAAGTAATACATTAACACTTAATCCAAATTTATCATAAATATTGATATTTATTTTATTAATTTTATAATTAATTTATTTGTTTAATACAATTAATTTAATGAATGATAAAAACAAAATGCAGAGAAATCTATTGATTAGTTCAATGAACGAAACATTAAAGGCAGCGGAAAATAGATTTGATTATAAAAATAGAAATTCAATTAAACTTTTGATTTTTATTATATTATACTCTGAATATTGTGTTATCAAAAAACTATACGAGAGAATTAATAATTAAGGAAACCAGTCATGGTTTTCATGTATATTGCAGTATGATTCAGTTGTGTATTTTTAATACAAATGCAACACTCATAAGCTAATATACATGTTGATAAATATCCATTTACGCTATAATATATATAAAGTTGCACCAAAGGTGCACTTTTGTGGTTTCGCTATTAATAATACATTTTTCTGTCACTACTTTAATATTCATACCATTCACTCACTCTCTGGTGTTTTTTCGGTATAATTTTTCAATAATCTCTGAACTCATCTGAGCATAAAATCACACAAAATTATATACTATTCTTACTGTTTTTAACGTCAATGAGAATTAATAGTTTTTGAAACTAATACATGAAAATGTTTT